TTTTTGCTCAGGCCTCCAACTTTATGAGCTTCAAATATTGGCTGCTGTTCGGTGGCAAATTTGTTCAGGGGAACAGGGTGAGTTCTCACAGGAGCCATCTGGTTCTGCATAATGAAGCTGTATATATAGTGAAGCAGTTACATGTGTGGGCTCTGAGGTCAGACTGCAAGTGTTCAAATATTAGCTCTGCTGCTTCTTAGCTCTGTAGCCCTGGACCAGTTACTCAACCTCTCTGTGACTCAGATTTCTGGTGTGTTAAATAGGCTTAATGAGACCACCCGCTTCTCAAAGTTGTGAAAAGTACATGAGATACATGGATAATGCAATTAGTTCAGAGCTTGGACCTATTAATGTTAAGTCCTCAGTAGTTAAGTGCTCAATACACGCTAATATTAACCTGTGGCTTTTGCCAGTCTTCAGTCACATATATACTTTAAAACCTACTCCCACAGTTTAAATAGAAGTCCTGAAGAGTTTCAATTCTGAATATGTCCCAACTAGTCCTATCCTTGCCCACTCACTTCCTAAGCCCCTCATGGCCAAGCTTCTAGGGGCAGTAAACTGCGAGAAGGTAAATATATGGGGGAAACTAATGGAAGCTGGGGGTTATTTTAGAAAGGTTTATTTGTGTAGATTCGTCTTGGTGCTGACTTTCTGTCTCCAGTGATGTTTATTTTCCTCATAGTACAGGAGAGGAGAGGAAAAACACCTTCACAAAGGGAAATTTATGTCCTTCTTTTAGGCAGATGGGGGAGGGCAAAGAGCTCTTTCTGCATTTGTTACTTCTTAATTGTCTTCAGCGCAAAACAATCATAATGCTAAAGTGGCATATTTTGGGGTGGCATATTTTGGGGTGGCATATTCTGATCCTCTCAACAGATAACAAGATCTTATATTTGCATGTCTCGCGTTTGATTTTTCCAAACACTATCACAACCTTTATCTCACAAGGTTGTGAGGTTAGCAGGATGAGGATGATTTTCCTACTTTAGAGAAGAGGAAACTGAGGATTCCAGAGATAACATGGCCTGTTTTAAACTATCCAACTTGTTAGAGGAAGACACAGGAGTGCTCAAAGTCAAGTATCCCCCTCCAGCAGTTATTTCAACCTCCTACAGTATCTATTCTTCTATAAATCTTCCGTTTGGTCATAAGAGATCTAGCAGCTTGCTTCCCCTGCCCCACAACTTTCCAAGCTGCGTGGGACCTTTCAGATTATGTGAGAAGGAAGGAAACACAATGGGGGAGGGGAATCTCTCTATATCTCTGAGGAAGGGCAAGTTATTTTTCTGTAATGTAGTTGGAGAATGAGGTTGAGAATACCTTAAGGTCTTGAGCAATGATCTATTGGAAGAAACGATGAGAAAGAGCCCTTCATTTGAACTGATCAAAATAGTCCAGTGTTGTGGATTCTGGCTGAGCCCAAAGCAAATACAGAAATGTCTGGAAACTGTCTGAGGCATCCATGATCCTGCAGCAGCTTGAGCCTGTACTTGCATGGGGATAGTGGGCTCTAAGAGAAGATTCTCTATACTGTCAGTGCCTGAGGCACAGACAGTGACTGGGTGGTGGGTGAGAGGAGGGCAGAAGAGTGGAGGAACAGGAAAGGGTGACATTTGCTCTCCAGCTGTGCCTCTAGGACTGGGTGTGTGGAGAGGGTTCCTGGCATCTCTTCACATGGAGTAAAGTGGTTGGCGAGGGTTCTATGAATTTACAGCACATTGTGGGTGGGGGGGATAGATAACAAGTAGAATATAGAAATGGGTCAATTAGAGGACCTGAGGTCATTTGTTCTTCCGAGCACAAGGACCAAGCCTGAAAGCTTCAGCTAGGGTGTTGAGGGTGGGATGTGAGGGAGATATTGCTGCAGAAAGATGTTTTTCTCACAGAGGTCTCACTGAGACACAGGGTATGTATACATATATATATTATTTTAATGTCCAGGTGACAAAGTATGGCTCAGATCTCAAAAGCACATTTCTCCTCTTTTGGGTGGACCCATTGGTGCTTTCAGCCAAAGTGACCAGAAGGTAGGACAGCACCATTTAGGCCTCTCTCAGATGTGTAACTGTGAGCACTCCAGTATCCATACCTCCCTCTAGCAGAGGCTTCTGTGTTCCCACAGTCAGAGGTACCCACAGCAGCTGGCCTGGGGCATAAGGGCTACCCTCAAGTGGCAGTGTGACCTCCAAGGGGTTGCCCTCAAGTAGCAATATGGACAAGTGACCTCCAAGAGGCAGAGTAAAAGTCAAAGGACAACAAAAGAGGACTGTCTCAGAGCATGTATGACTGCTGGGATCTTCCACAAACAACTAGAGGAAACCTTCAAGGGACTGAAATCCTGTAACACAGGTGGGGACAGAGGTCTGTGACATCTTGGTTTTTCCTTCTTATGGGATCTTATTTTTACCCATGGGTCAGTGAGGTCTGGAGAAACTTGAAACCCCATTTTATAGTAGATGAAATTGCGTCTAGCACTTAGGCATATGATATCCCAGTTCCACATAGATGCTGAGTGGCTCTTGAAACATTTCTAAAAAAAACCTTTAGAGTGGGTAGAAGAACAGGAACTGAGCTCTGGCGGGGTATGATTGGGCTTCTTTTGTCCCATTTATCTCTAGTGATGTTAGCTTGAAGGAGAATAGACGTAAACACAAAAGGAAGAAGAATGGCTAGGGAGAAAAAGAAAGAAAACAATTGTTATTGCTCTCCACTACCTGGCGATAAAATTTTTTTTTTAAGTTTCATTTTTAAGACATTTTTCTTCCTTTATACATTTTCCAGACATGAGGTGTGAATTCTATATTATCCATTTGTCTTTCAGTAGAGAAAAAACTCGACCACACTTTTCTTAGCTGAGAGAAATCCTGGCTAAACACGGACATCCAAATTGCACTTGGGCCTGGACTAGGCCAGGTGTAAGCCAACAGGCCCAGAGAAGAGGGAGAAAGCTGGGTCCCCAGGGCCTGGCTATCTCTCCGCCTGGACTTCTTATTTCCCAACTTATTGTACTCTCTTTCTCCTGAGACAACAGCACTGGTGATTGAGGCAGCTGCAGGCAACCCACAGAGTCAGATTTTTATGTATAGTATCATGAGACTGCCAATTTTTCTGCCTATCTTTGTTTTCTTTTTAGAATCATTTTTCATTTCCTGGAATCAGACCCAATGTTTAGGATAATGGAGCGGCAGTCCTTAGAGAGGGTTTGATCTCTCCCTGTATTTCCATCTCTGCTGTCACCACTGTAGATTGAGCCATCTGGTCACTCACCTGGAGTATTGCAATATGGGGCTGAACTGCTGTCTGACCCCTTCCTCTATCCTGCCTCCAAACTGTTGCAACGTTAGCATTCTAAAAATGTATTTCTAATTGTGTCACCTCTACTGTTTTTAAAAGACCCTTTTGTGGCCAGGCGTGGTGGCTCAAGTCTGAAATCCCAGAACTTTAGGTGGCCAAGGTGAGAGAATTGCCTGAGCCCACAGGTTCGAGAATACCCTGGGCAACTTGGCAAGACCTCATCCCCACAATAGATCAAAAAATTAGCTGGGCGTGGTAGCGTGCACCTCTACTTGGAAGGCTGAGGCAGAAGAATCACCTGAGCCAAGCAGGTCAACACTGGGGTGGCCATGAGCGTGCCACTGCACTCCAACCTGGGCGACAAAGTGAGACTCCAGCTCAAAAAAAAAAAAAAAAAAAAAGACCGTTTTGTATCCCAAATGTATGAACTATAACTGACTAAATAAATCAACACTATTTGTATCAAATTCCCCATTGTCCTGATTTCTTGTCTGCATAGCCTTCACCATAATTTCAATCTATCCGACTTAAGGGTCTTCTTGCTTGTTGTCTGTCTCTCCACTCCATTAGAATGGGATTTTCATATGAACAGGATTCTTATCTGTCTGTCCCAAAGACAGTGACTGACACAAGTTAGAGCACAAATACTGGTGAATGAAGAACTCAATAAACCAAATTCCAGTAGCCACAGTGGATTTTTTTTTGTAAATGAAGTTTATTTACTTTTATGGTTACAAATGTAATACATGCTCACTGTAGAGAATCTGGAAAGTACAGAGAAGTAGAAAGAAGAAAATAAAAAACACCCATAACTCCACCACTTGAAGGCAAACACTGCTCATATTATGCTCTAACTATCTATGCCTGTTTAGAGACCAAGACCCTCATCAAGAGTGTTGGCCATGAAGCATAATAGCTAAGGGGAGTGAAGGCAATTAATAACAGAGGCAGTAGCCCAAAGATTAGAGCTAGAGATTCCACACCAAGGGACAAGACAAAGGCCTTAATCAACAGGTCAAGAGATAAGAAGCTGACAACACAAGAGCAAATTGGGTTACTGTAAGAATGTAGTGAGATGGTGCTTGTCAAGAGTTTAGCCCAGTACTTGTCACATGATACATTATCAATAACCATTAGCCATTACTGTCACTATTGTTATTATTATGGGTCAACACAAATGGCTCGAGATGGAGACTATTAATAGGGCAAGGGCCCTGGAGACCCATTTTAGGTGTTATGAGTTGGGACATATAGGGACAAGTTTACTGGGTTGAAAGGGTGGTATAGGAGTGGGCATCACTCTCCTTATAGGCTCTCCTGTCAGGTGAAATGGAGCCAGGGCTTCCTCAAGTCTGCCTGCTGACACGGGGCAAGACACTCTAAGGTGTTTTTGAGGTAGGACATGATTTCTCCTGCCTAGACTTCTCCCTGGACCAAGAACTAGGACCAGCCTTGATGGTGATGAGTGTTCAGAACCTCATACACCATACACTCTTGTAGTCCACACTTTGTCAGGGCAGGTCTCAGGCATGTGGGTGAAAGAGAAGGTCAAGGCAACCGAGTGGGAGATAGGGTGGGATGTGCCTGGAGCGGGGAGGGCTAAAGGGTGAAGGCAACAAGGTTTATGATGTAGTTCAATGGAATGGGTCCAGGAACCAAACAGCAGCTGAGTCAGATATCACAGGAGAAGAGTCCAAGGAGCATTATTTGTTGATGGGGGCCTTCTGACGATGGCCCGTGCTCTGTCCAAGGTGGTCGTGAAGACCTTCTTGGGGGTCTCCATGTTCTTTCAGGTAGTAACAGCGTTTGGAAACATGCTGGTACTGAGAGTGAGAAAAACAACAACAACAACAGAGATAAGAGCCACATTTACTATTATAAGGAGCGTTCTATCTGGATAAGCTCAGTAACTTAGCAGATCAAGGAACTTGGCTAATTCATCTCCCTTTTTTTTTTTTTTTGAGTTGGAGTCTCACTCCGTCGCCTAGACTGGAGTGCAGTGGCCGCTCCCGACCACTGCAGCCTCCACCTGCTGGGACTCCGGCGATCCTTCCACCTCAGCCTTCCAAGTAGCTGGGATTACAGGCACGTGCTACCACGCCCAGCTAATTTTTTGATTTATTGTAGAGAAGAGGTCTCACCAAGTTGCCCAGGAGGGTCTCGAACCTGCGGGCTCAGGCAATCCACTCACCTCAGCCTCCCAAGGCACGGGATTACAGGCTGAACCACCGAGCCCGGCTTCATCTCACTTTTATAAAGTGTGACCAAGGACTAGACTAGCCTAATTCCCTAGTGACCTGAGTCCACAGCATATGTAGCTATAGGTAATCCTAACTCCCCAAAGAAGACCCCTCCCATAGAATTTGACTTGGAACAAGGGGAGAATTGGGACTGAGCCCAGTCAGTTTCCTCATAATCAGAAGACTTAGTACTTTAACCATCCCAGGCTCTCAGTAACTTGGGCAGGATATTACTCCTCCAAGTGGTTAATACAGTCAAAACAACTGCAGAGCCATGTTCACTGATGAAACTCCAGGTTGGGGTCTATGGTCTAGGAGCCCCATTCCTTAGCCCTTGTTCCTTCCTGATTCTACTCAAAGAAGGTACACCCCCCATCATGACCTCCTCCTTTTTCTGCTCAAAAACCTTGAGTGGATTTCCCTCTCATTACCTCCTCGGTCTGCTGCTGAGCGCTCAGTTCATCCTCCATGGCCTCTTCATTATTTCTCTTATAGGCTGTCGGCAGAACCTGGCTGGAGTAGTGCGGGGAATCCTTCTCCTCAGCCAGCTGGCACTCGGTATAGAGAGACCTGTCTATCAGCTCCTTTAGGCTGCCGGCCACCTTCAGGAAGATCCGACCCATTTTAGTGGTAACAGCTTCAGAGAGTCCTTCCAGGAACCTGGTTCGTAGAATGGCATCAGACCAAGACAAGTGTCGGGCCAGCAGTAGGAAGTCAGTGGCATACTGCCTGACTGACTTTTGGCCCTGCTTGGGATGGCAAAGAACAGCACTGAGGATGTCTATGTCAGAGAGGGAGTCATATATGCCCTGGGATCTTCTCAGGAAAGATTTATTTTCATCTGAGAGGGGATTTCCTACCTCCATCTGCAAGATGGACCATCTCTCTGCTGCCCCCAGATGAAGAGACACCAGAAATGCCATTTTCTCTGAATCATCCAAAAACCCCTTTATTTGCTTCTCCTCATCAATCTCCATTTCTTCCTCCACAGAGCATGAGCCCCGGGATGCTTCCTGCTCTTCTAAGAGGTAACAGAGTGCTGGGGTCAACATTCCAAAGGATGGCACTTCCTCTGGTGGTGGGCCTGAAGTTTTAGGGGTTGCGGCAGTCATGTGTGGTGTGGGCTTTGCTCCAGAGGCTGTGATGTTGGTGTGAGAGGTAGATGCCTCTCCAGAGTCTGCAGCATTGATTTCCGGAGTGGACATCATCCCAAAGGCTGTTTGTGGTGTGGACGTTTCTCTGGGGGCTGGGGTCCTCATTAGTGGTGTGGATATCCCTCCAGAGGCTGTGACTTTCTTTTGTGGCATGGACATCACTCTAGAGGCTGTGGCTCTTGGTAGTGGCATGGACATCGTTCCAGAAGCTGAGGTTCTCATTGGTGGTGTGGTCATCCCCCCAGAAGCTATGTATGTGGCTTGTGGCAAGGACATAGATCTAGAGCTCGCAAATCTGGTTTGCGATGTGGACATTGCTCCAGAGGCCATGGTTTTAATTAGCGGCATAGGCATCTCTCTAGAAGCCATGGCTGACATCAAAGGCATTGATATTGTTCCAGAGTCTGTGGCTTTCATTAATGGCTTGGACATCCCTCCAGAAGCCATGGCTGTCGTTTGTGCAGTGGACATATTTCCAGAGGCTGGAGGTCTCACTAACTCTGTGGACACAGCTTCACAGGCTAAGGATCTCCTTAGTGGTGTGGACTTAGTTCCAGAGACTGGAGCTCTTACTAGTGGTGGGGATACTCCTCCAGACACTGGGGCTCTCATAGGTAGTGCGCACATGTCCCCAGAAGCTGCAGGCATCATTTGTGGTATGGATGTCGCTCTAGAGACTGGAGTTCTCATCAGTGGCACAGACACCCCTCCAGAGGCTGTGGATCTCATTAGTGGTGTGGACATTGCTCCAGAGACTGGAATCTTCATTTGTGGCACACACATTATTCCAGAGGCTGTGGCTGTCATTTGTGGAGCAGACATTGCTCCATAAGCTGGGATTCTCAGAGGTATGGCTATCTCTCCAGAAGCTGGGGATCTCAGTGGCAGGGACATCTCTTCAGAGGACAAAGCTCTTGTGAGCAGTGTGGACATCCCTCCAGAGTCTGATCCTCTCAATAATGTTGTGGACATTGCTCCAGAGGCCTGAGCTCTCAGTGTTGGTGTGGACATCCCATCAGAGGCTGGAGCTCTCGTCCGCATGCTTCCAGTGGTCATGGATCTCGTGGGTGACATGGACACTCCTCCAGAGTCGTGGGTGCTCATTGACCGACTGGACATCTTTCCAGAGGCTGTGGCTCTCATTAGTGGTGTGGGCATGGCTCCATTGCCAGGGGCTCTCAGTAGTGGTGTGGTCATCGCTCCGGAGGCTGTGGCTGTCATTTGTGATGTGGACACTGGTCCAGAATTTGTGTCTCTCATTAGTGGTGTGGACATCGCTCCAGAAGCTGTGGTTGTCATTTGCTCCATGAACACTGTTCCGGAGGCTTTGGGTGTCATCAGTGGCTTGGACACTGCTCCAGGGGCCGGAGCTCTCGTTTGTGTCATAGACCTCACTCCAGAGCCTGTGTCTCTCATTAACAGTGTGGATGTTGATCCAGAGACTTTGGCTGTCATTAGTGGGGTGGACATTGCTCCGGAGGCTGTTGCTCTCATTTGTGGTGTGGATGTCGATCCTGAGGCCGTGGTCCTCATTTGTGATGCCGACGTTGCTCCAGACACAGGGGCTCTCATTTGTAGCATGGACATTGCTCCAGAGGCCGTGGCTGGCAACTGTGGCATGGACATTGTTTCAGAGGCTGCAGCTGTAATTGGTTGTGTGGCTACTGTTCCAGAGGCTGGAGCTTTCCTCGACAGTGTGGTCATCTTTCCGGAAGCTGGGGCTCTCGGGCGCTGTGTGGAAGTTCCCCCATTGGCCGTGGCTTTCATGAGGCCTGTGGGCTTTGCTCCAGAAGTTTTGGCCATTGCTAACTGTGTGGACATCACTCTAGAGGCTGTAGTTGGAATTTTCTCTGTGGACATTGCTCCAGAGCTTGTGACTGTCATCAATGGGGTGGCCACTGCTCCAGAGGCTGGGACTGTCTTTTGCAATGTAGAAGTATTTCCAGAGGCTGGGCCTCTCATTAGTGGTGTGGACATTGCTCCCGACTCTGAAGCTCTTACTGGTGGTGCAGACATCATCCCAGAGGTTGTTGCTCTTGCTGCAGGAACAGACATGATTTCAGAGTCTAGATTTTGTGTTAACCATGGGGACATCACTCCAGAGCCTGAGGCTGGCATCATTTGGGTGGACATCACTCCAGAGGTTAGGGTCGTCATTAGCATTGGGGACATTACTTCAGCATCTGGGGCTGGCTTTGGTAATGTGGACAATTCTCCAGCATCTGGGACCGACAGTAGCGATGTGGCCATTGCTCCAGAGCCTGGAGCTGACATTAAAAGTGAAGATATTTCTTCAGAGTCCGGGTCTGACATGAGTGGGGTGGATATTCCGTCAGAGTTTTGGGCGCTTGTTGGCTGGGTTGATGGTTCTCCAGAAGCTAGGGCTGACATAATCAGTGAGGATATCACTTCAGAGTCTGTGCCTGACATTAGCAATGAAGATATCTCTCCAGAGGCTAGGGCAGTCATTAGCACTTGGGACATTGCTTCGGTGTCTTCATCTGTAATTTGCAATGGGGACATTGCTTCAGAGCCTGGAGCTGACAATGGCTGTGTGGACACCACTCCAGTGTTTATATCTGGCATTAAGAGTGGGGATATCTCTCCAGGATCTGGGGCTAGCATCAGTGGTGTAGACATTGCCTCCGGGGATGAAGTGCTCATTATAGGCGTAGACATCGCTCCAGAGGATGGAGCTGGCATTGCCAGTGGTGATATCTCTGTAGAATCTGATGCTGCCATTAGCACTGTGGACATCATTCCAAAGTCAGGGATTGTCATCATCCCTGGGGACATTAACCCATAGTCTGAAGTGGACAGCAACGGGGACAATGTCCCAGAATCTGAGGCTGGCGTTAGCAGTGGTGACAGTGCCCCAGAGTCCGAGGTTGGCATTAGCAATGGTGACAGTGCCTCAGAGTCTGAGGCTGGCAATAGTGATGGGGACAGTGCTCCAGAGTTTTGTGCTCCCATTAGAGGTGCAGACGTGGTATCAAAGGCTGGAGATGTCATCAGCTGCGTGGATGTCCCTCCAGGATCTGAGGTTGAAGTCGAGACTGTAGGCAACTGTACTTGAGAATGCAGCATTTGAACCTCTGCTCTGGCCTCTGTCACTGGTCTCGAGGAGGTCATTCCTCTGTTTTGAGGGTCTGCATTTTCTTCTCTCATCTTGTTGTTGGCTCGTCGTGATTGTAAGGATTTTGACATATCTGCCATGGCCACAGGACAGTGTGGAGGGAGTTCCTAAAGTGATGATATCAGGAGTCCTGCTGAAGCCCAAGTGGTAAGAAAATCTGTAAACAGGAAACAAGTGTAGAGGTCAAAAGCCAACATCAAAAAGATTGGGAAATAAACAAATGATTCATGGTGGAGATCTGTTTTTATGTGTTGCCATGTATATGGCATTGAAGATGGGCCTATCAGACTAAAGAAGCTGTGTAGCGACGAACAACTTCGGAGCTGGAGCAAATATTCCTTTTACCTCTATCCTTTTCAAACCCAGTTACACCGCACAGCCTCTCAGTTAATAAATGCTGTAAATGCCAGCGACCTCAGCAGTCAAGAGCCTGGGCAGTCCTGGATCAATTGAAGCGGCAGCACCACCTTCTGGCCAAATGGGAGAAGTGCAGGTTCCAGGGTTATGTTCTATCCCACCGCAGTACTCATTAGCCCGCCAAGGTACTGGCAGGCCTGGATTGGAAAACGCTTTTCCCCGGGATAATCACTAGTTCCTAGGGCTTATTGAATCCTGCCAGTGATTATTTGGTCCTCCTTTGGCTCTTCCGATGGCCCTACGTGTCCTCCTCAGGAAAAGGAAGGCATTTATCTGATCAGTGACTGGGAGCAACAGTCATTGAACTGAAAATCCTGCTTATTATGTTCATTATTATTATTAACCACCACCACCCTTGCTATTGATTGTTCACTTACTATGTGCCAGGCACTGTACTGTAGACAACTGTACACAACTGCCTATAATGTACAGGGTTTTGTAAGCATTATCACATTTGGGTCTTATGATATCCTGTACAATATGGTTATTATTCCTATTTTACAAGCTATCTAACATTAGCCAGGGTTGAGGACAAAACAGGGTTACTGCAGCAGTAAAAAATGTATAGCTTTGATTCTCATTCCTTCCTGGGAGTTGCCTACTCTTTGATATATCTGTGTTTGTATTCAATCATGTCTCTGACATCCTAGACCATGGCTCACTTGAAGCCCAGCTTTATAGCAAGTACAAATTTCAAGTTTCTCTGATGATATGGGGTGAGCAATCCCAGAGCCCCATCCCTTCGGTCCCCTCCCATAAGCAGCCCCAGAAGGGGCTCTTTGACACACAGTTTGGAAGCCAATGTAGATATTACACAATGTTGTCATGTCCCCACAGCCTGCCCATGCCAGAAATGGAAGACTTGCTACTTTGGGGCAATGTCACAAAAGTCATCAACCTTGTGGCATTGTGACTTCATAACAATACCAACTGCAAGCATTTCTTGAGCATGCACTGACTGGCAAGCTCTCTGCTCGGCACTTTACATGCATCATGTCATGTGGTCCCCACAGCAACACGAAGAGGTTTTGGTAGTACTCCTACTTCAACTTTCAAACAAAAGAAAATCAGGCCCAGAGAAACTTAATTTGCCTGCAGTCACAGAGATTCCCAGGTCCATCCGGTTCCAGTGCCCCTACTCTCCACCACTGTGCTATCATGATCGACCTTTCCTCCTTCCTCAGACACATTACCAAGACCCCTTCCTCTAGATCTCCGGCCTGGACAACCCCAAGAGGGGGTGTCATAAAAGAAATGCTGGCCTCCTGCTGACACCTTGGTTATTGCAATAATTGGGTGCAATGGAAAAGATAAGTCAAAAGAGCAGTCATAGATCTCACATCTTCAGAAAAATCCCTGAATATGCCAGTTTCCCACCAGGCAAAACCCGGAAAGATCTTACCTTGCCAGTGACTGAAAAGAGAGAGAGAGTATCCTTTGCGCCCCTAGCTCTTTTAGTCTGGGCCAATTGACTTATACCCGGTGCCCAGCCAGTTCATTAAAGTAAGACCCAATACCAGCAGCTGTTCTCTGCAATCTCCCTTAGCTATCCCCTGCCACGCCCCCCTGCCCGCCAGCCAGCCCGCCCACCC